TGGCATGTACAAATCAAAACTTTCATAGATCTTGCACTCTGAGGGCCATATTTTGCAGTCTTTAGTCTGGCAATATTTCCATTGACTTAAATGGAAGTGTTCCCTGAATAAGAATCGTATGATTTGCCCCTGAGATTGTGGGGTTGTTAAGGCAGGTATTTGCACTAACAGGTAGTACAAATAAGGAACAGTTTAGCAAGGCCACCATTGTGAGAGATACTTTGTCCAAATGGGTTGAAAAGTGTTAGTCTTACAGTTCGTTGGAGGGAACAGTACACCACCAGTAGGCCTCAGGTTAACCTTTTGGGAAAGGTGAGAGAGAGTCAAATCCAGTCCAGTTCCACTACTGGAAAATAGGAGATTGGAAACTAATACGGTGCTTTGATGTATTGCACAGTGGGTTGCCCAGATGTGAAATGTAGGGCATAAAAACCCTATCATCACAATGATTAACATAATGAACCAAGTCCAGCCCCTGATGCTTCCCTGCTGGTACTCAACACAGATTTTATTGCAATACAATTCTGCTCTGTTGCAGGAAGATTTGAAAAGCACACCCTGCTGGGCTGCTATCATTTCAGTGTTCCACGTGTAAAGCTATTGGCCTCTGTAAATGTCAGGACCATGAAACACCAAAACCAGGCACAACGTACTGCAGATCAGAGCTGCTCTTATTTGCATACGTACTCAGTCTGTATTTACATAAAATAACAATTAACTCTTCAGAAAAACAGCAAGACATTTGTCTATTTTTTCATGTTCCAGGAGCAGTCTTGTTACTTGCAGAATGAGGTTTTATTTTATAAGACAGTGGCTGATTTAGACAATTCTCAATCCTTCTCCTAAAGCTAGAGATTTATGAAAATTTAGGCTTTTCATATCAAGGCAAGGGAGAAGTGAAGAGTCATTCATCCACTCACTCTCGGCATCAGCAGTTATGTCATTCTCTGTAAAGCTGTGTCATGAAAGTTTCTTCAAAAGCCTAGAATTAATGTTGTTTGTTTGTTTATTTTGGAGTCACAGAGAGGGCAGCATAAAATAGCTACAAGGCAATTCCCGTTCAGTGAAATGGAAGTCTCATAGGCACTTCATTCAATACAATGTGGCTCAAGAGGATATCCTGTCAACCAATGATAACAAGGGAAATAAAGTCACTTCCTCACCAGCTGTTTGATTCAGGTAGAAAAAGGAAGTCTTTACTTCCTCATGTTTGCTCTGCCCACCACCCCCTTACTAATAAATGCAGAGTGTGGCACTTAAGCTGGTTTTTCCCTTTATATTTTCAATGAAGAAAACTCACATTGTTAATGCATCACTGGGCTCAGCATATGGGAAATATTTAGTTCTACACAGCCTAAAAAAGCTGGGCCCAGCCTGAACTGTACGAGAGAGGCAGATTATGTAGCAATGATACGGAGCCTTTATAAATTTGCAGCGGTATTACCCTTCAATAATGATTGGGTGGCAAACTGGAGGTGGCTGGTTATTGGGGGGGGGGCAGATCCTCTCTCCAACTCCTGTGGGTGTGTATGGTGGAGCAGAACTGTCATGGGGCGCCCTCACAGGCTGGCCATGTAGAACATCATGGCCAAGACTTCCATGCAGCTTGGGCAGTTTGGTAGTGATGTATACACAGCTCCATAGATCCACCAGCCAGTCCTTTTCCTACTGTAGAAGAGAATGCAGCAGGTACATGAGGATTCCATCCCTCCCTCACCACCCTCTTCCCTTATGGAAAAGTCCAACATAATTTAAACTGATTCAAGTAAAAGGGTGGGTTTTGTTATAATAGGAGTGTAGTAGGGTTCTATAGAAATTACTTTCAAAAACCTATAGAGTTTCATAGAGAAGAAAATTCTCTCTCTAAGGTTTTTGAACTGTCCTAGAGAATTCTATACTGGGGCATAACTTTCTGTGAAGTTCTATGGAAAATAAAACCCTACAAGAGTTACCATTCTCTCAAATTCTACAAGCCTTTTCAGTAAGCATGGCAGCTTTGCAGAGGCCCGTCAAGCTGTACACAGGATCCAGGCTCTGAGGGAGAATATTTCTGAGAGGACTTCAAACGCTTCAGGCAGTTTGTGTCAAGTCGTGTGTGGGGTTTTTTTTTTATACCGACACTTATTTTATTCAGATCAATTTAGATTACAAAAATCCAATTACAAGTACTAATGCACATATACATAGGAAGAGACCTAACTTATGGAACATTCTGTATACAGTTTAGAGTTCTCTTGGCATTAAAAGCAGTTTTCACTAGGGGGGGTAGGCCCCCCTCTTCTGTTGTTTTAATACATAAAATGGGCATGTGTTTATTTAAAACAGGTTTGAAACTTAAACAAATAGTGACAGGCTGTTCAAACAGGCTTCGGAAATAAGCCTAATCAGGATGTTTGAGAAGGCAAAAGCGCAATAAAAAGGCACCCATAAAGTAGCTACTTGTAATATATAGTACAGAAACCATAAGGTTGGGTTCATCTTGTTATTATAATAGTCTCAATAACAAAAACTATTTCATGCAGAACGTTTTGTGCTGACATTCCTTTTCTTGAACCATTAGTCAGGGCTTTTGCGTTGTGTTAATGCAACCTACTCTCACCTACTTTCATGCCAGGCACCAAGAGCTCTCTCTATTGGGTTCCTAACAATAGCTTTTGTAATAAATTGGGCTGAGCATCCTCTAAACCTGGAGGATGGGGTTGGGTTGATACAGGATATGTTTCTGCTTCCATTGGTGTAATGGAAGTAGGATCAAGACTGTAGAAAGAGCGTCACTGAAGTTTAACATTAAAAACTTTTCATGTGACTTGCATTTTCTCAATACTTTTTTTTCTTCAAATGTCCTCTATTCTTTCCTATAGTTTTATTGTTGTGTATTGAACTTTGTCCTTGTTGTATTTTTATAAGGCTTGATCTTTAACTGCTGACACTGACAAAATTCCCACTGAAATCAGTGAGAGTCTGCAATAGAGATTGCAAGATTCAGCCCAGTCTGTAATATTTGCTTGCAGTCTGTGTTGTCTCATAGCCGTAAGGAGGTGGAGTAAAAGGTGCTTTTTGAAAAACAGCACAGCAAATGTGTTTTACAACCCAACATAACACAACAAAACATTAAGAACGGCATTATTAACCTTGTGTTTCTGAAGTTAGGTACTCAAATAAAAGTGGCGCCATTTTCTCAGCCCTCAGAGCTTCCATGGAAGCATAATTGAAAATCAGACTTTTATTTAGGTGCCTATATATGGATTTAAGTACCTAACTTCAGAAACACAAGTTTGAAAATATTGGCCTAAAGGAACAAAATGTCAAAAAACAATATGAAGAGAGATGCATTTTCTGCACACAGTCATTCTATGGGCCAACCCCCATAGCTCTTAACTCAGGCAATACACCCACTGAAATCAACAGGAGTTTTGCCTCAGTAAGGGGTGCTGGATTTGGTCCAGTATCACTCATTATAAAGAGAAATTGTGGAAGTAGACACAATTTCTCCATTTAAGTACATCTCCCTCAGAGCCGAACTTCTACCGAACAGGATTTGAATAGCAAAATGTAAAAAACGTACACGCCCTCTTGTGGCAAAAACTAAACTTTCCATTCTGACCTACAATAGCTAGTGATATCAGATGACAAAGGACAGCGTAAAGTACTAGAATATGTCCATATCTTATGGGAAACACACAGCATGGTTGAAAGGTTTATTGTTATTTCATGTAATTTACACTGTGGCTTTTTCCCCCTCTGTTGCTGTAATTCATGAATTACTCGTGTATTTTAGGAGGCTATTCGCCTTGTATAAAATGTAACATTATAAATGCCTGAAGACATTTTACAGGAAGTGCAACTGAAAAAAAGGAATGTTTATTTTCTACAACAAATTGAAACCCTGCCACCAAAACGAAGTGGGTATTCACCCACAAAAGCTTATACTCCAATATATCTGTTAGTCTTAAAGGTGCCACAGGACTCTCTGTTGCTTTTTACAGATCCAGACTAACACGGCTACCCCTCTGATAAGAAAATGTAAAATGGTCACAAAATAAAAGCCATCAAAAGCCATCTTTTCATTAAAAAGAAACCTGTCTGCCTAAAGTTAGGTTCCTAAATCCATATTTAGGAAACTAAACAAAAGTGGCCTCATTTTCAGAAGTTCTGAGCACCCACAAATACCAGTGACATCAATAGGAGCTGAAGGTGCTCAGACTCATTTTATTATTAATTATTATCATTTGCATTATAGCAGCAGCAGGAGCCCATTGTGTTAGGTGCTGTACAAAAAGACGATTCCTGACCTAAGGAACTTAAAATTTTAGTAGTGGTTTGTATGCTAAAATGGTTCCGGAGTTACCTGCATGTATGAAAGAACTCACTCTTGTGCTTTTTTTAGTTTCTTTGAATAATTTGTGTTTATCATTATTAATGTAGCTTTAATGAACAAAAGTCTTTTGTTCCTGTCTGCATATCATATTGCTATGGAATCTCATACACCTATTTCCCTTCCTCCCAACCCAGGATGCCTTTGTGGAATTGTACGGCAACAACATGAGGCCTTTGTTTGATTTCTCCTGGATCTCTTTGAAGACTATCCTAAGTCTGGCTCTGGTGGGAGCTTGCATCACCCTTGGCGCTTATCTGGGACATAAGTGAAGTCAACTATCTAACCATGGATTACAAAAGTCTTACGAAACAATAAAATAATATGTTTTTTCCAGTAGCACAATGATATTAGTTTTATGAGCAGAAGTTCCTGGCTAAATATAAATCAGCTATTACTGCCAAAGGGAAGTATCATTTATTTTTTACATTGCAGGAAACAAAGTTATTTATTAAAGATATTTACATTTAACTTGCTATTTTCAGAAACTCTACAAACAGTTTATATCCGAGTATCACATAATATTGTTATGAATTGTAATGAGCCCCCAACACCTTGAGCTTTTTTTATTTTTTTAAATAAATTAATGCAGCTGGATGGATTAAATATACTGACAAAGACCTACCTGCTTTCTCTTGGGGGAGCAGTTACTTGGGCTGCTTCAGACTGTGTAATTGTGTTGATTTTACTACAATTTTTCACAGATCCAAGGAGATGGGATCCTAAAAAAATCAGAGGGAGTGAAGTTAGAATTATTTCCAGCTGGCAAGTACTGACATTAGTATACAATTCAATATGGTACATACTTGGTGTCAGAATAGCAACTTCTCGAAGGACAGCTATCTATAGGAGTCTCCTGGCAGGACAACAGTTTGAAATACGATTGCATATATTTTATGAAAGTATTTTTAAGTTACCAAATTGTGCCAATACATCATAATCATAACAGTATCATCTGATGCCTTAAATGGATGATATGTCAATTCAGATACTCTTTATGAGCGCATGAAATGAAATCCTTTGGACATGCAAGAAATTACTGTTTCAATGATTTTCTCAGCAGTAAAATGTCTTTTACAGCTACACACACAGAAACCGTGAGACCGTCAGTGCCTGCCTCTACAGAGCACAGCTGGAGGCTGGAGTCCTGACTTGTGTCCCATTTTAGTGGGTTCATATCTGCAACTGATCCTGTTTACTTGCTGAGCTCCTCTAGGGTTTTGAAACCAATTAAGTTTGGTCTCTAAATCCCTGAAAGTTGAAAAAGGTTTAAATTTATTTGGCAAGAAACAGACCTCATCTGAGTTCCAGATTAGCTCGAACTATGCTTGTTTATCAAACTGGACACCAAAATCACGTTCATTTTCATAACAAAGAAGTCAGATGACCTGTATTCTTTCCCCCATCTCGCCCCCACCCCCAGCCAAAGTATTACATGCTAATAATTTCTTAAGACTTTCTACAGAAATAAAGAAGATGAAGAAATTGTCCTAATCCTCTAGCTGGACAGAGACTCACTGACATCCAGATTCCTTAGATGCCTATTGTCATTTCAGGGGAGAATAAGGAGGGGGAAAGGATGGACTGAGTCAGCTTCTTGAATAATAAATGTAATTTAAATAAGATTAATTCAGAATACTTAATATACAGCTTTATAACAACTGCATAAATCCTGGAACCATATATCTTAGACATGTCAACATACTTTAAGGTGGGCTTTAACAAGCTTTTCGCTTCTATGAATTCCACCTTAAAAACCTCTAAGTCAAGTGTTTTTATTTTTTTACTATGAAACTGTCAAAATATGAACTTTGTGGCTAAATGTACATCCAGGGACAAGTTAGAAAGCTCTGGATAAAAGGACAGGAACAACAGACAAGTACTTTCAGAGTGAAAACAATACAATGAAAAACTATGCAGACTCAACCTTGAGATTTCAATAATATAACTTTGTGGCATTATATGCAAAATATCTGCAGTAATTTAGGAATGTAATATGTTCATTGTTAAGGCTGTAATTGATGTGATTTCTTCAAAGCTGCTTTTTTTAGATTTGTGCATCTCAGCATTTTTATTGCTATTTAGTCACGGCACCTACACTTTCTATGGGCAAAGATTGAGTGAGCGTTGCATTCCAAATTTGAAATGATTTTAATTTTACAGAAACATTTAATGGAACGAATGTTTCTAAAGCAAATGTGATCTGTTTTTAAACTCTGCTGAGTAAAAACACCTGAAATGTCAAAACTGTATGCATTTGTGCAAGGCACTTATGAAAAATATTTAAAAATAATAGGGAACCACATAGTAGGAATTGAATGTGGTCTTGGTTTTTCCACCTAGCAGGTTTAATTTATGGAAAGCCAGGTACAAAGCTGAACTAGAATTGGCACTGTACTAATGTTTCAATCCACATTTCACAATCTAGTCTTCATTTCAGTTTGTGCCCATTAGCCCCCCATTAAAAATAATGAATGATTTGACCTTGAACTTTTTCAATGTTGAATTGTTTATTGACGGTTTACATCATCAAAAAATATAAAAAGAGTAACTATAAATTCCTGTGCTGCTATACTACCAAGATAATTTGGATAGAGTTTATTTTGGACTATCCTCCAGTGGCAAGATTTTTCAAAGCTGCTTTAGAAGTAATATGAAGTAGTCACATTACAGAGATGATTATGTAGATGCTGCCAATTTGTGTTCTGTTGTATCTATTCACTGGGATTCCCAGCATATTAGTTAATAAGTTAAAAAAGTCAAGGCAACTGTTAATGGTTATTTTATCAAACAGATAATGGAGCTTTCCCATTCTGACTGCAGAATTGTACAATATTGTGGCTGCATTAGCTGTAAGTTGATGATGCATTTATTATTAATCACCATACTAGAAACGTTGAATGTATATAAAAGCTTGAACTTGTTTAAAAAAAAATCTCCCCCTCAATCCTCTTGCTTTCCCAGTGATTCCTGTCACTTCCATTTTCTTTGTTACCGTATGAAACAGAACTTTCCCTACAACATGCAAGGCCTTACTATCATGCTCCAAAACTTCATTTCAGTTAAAAATCACTTCTTCTCTCACCCCGATCAGTCCTGTTGGCAATCTATAAAAGGAAGCTAAACATATAAATAGTTGCACTTCTAAAGTTACTTGGCTGTGGAGAACCAAGGGACAACACGGGAAGAGGTGTTAAGAAGTGTAGAGAGGAGATAGATCATTGATATATCTCCATGACTGAGGATAAAAGTGTCTGAGAAATTTGGCCATGTTTCATCTAGGTGAAAAGAAAAAGAATGATAGGCAGTGACGATAAACAGAGCAAAACGTTACAAAAATTCCCCCCCAAAGTACTTAAGTAAAGCCTTGTTAATTCTAGCAGCAATCATCTACAAACCAGATCAGATATTTGATGTTACTGTACCACAGTTTTTTTTGTCCTTTAATTCTTTTGGGCTTTGTTTTTCAATAAAATAATTAAAAAGTCTTGTTTTTTTAAACAAAGGAAAACATCATAAGATCATCTATGATTTGTCATAGTTCCACAATGTACCGATAAGCCCCTTTGTTTTCAGTTTTAACTGATTTTTTACCAAAAATTTCCTGGGTTTTACAAAAAGTATTATTCATTTTTTTTCTGATTTTCACCCTACTTTTGTATTATTCAAATATATAAAAAATAACTAGTTTTATTAGGAAAATACAATAAATTGCATAGGATATATGTATTATGATAATGCATTTGTCTGTGTGTATATGCAAAGCTGCCTGTTGAAGTAAGGCTATGTATTAGTCTAGAAGATACATACAAACAAGTACACACGTAAGCTCTGAAGTGCGTGCGCATTAAACGTACTGATGAATCTCACCCACCATGTACACATTTCAAGCTGTTAGCAGATAACAGTTTAAAGATCTGACACACTAAAATGGGAAGAAAATGAAAATATGTTTCAGAACACAAGGAAATATTCGAAAGTTTTTAAAAAACAAAAACAGGAGGAGACAAGGATGAAGTTGAGTGTATGTGCTACAAATGGTGTGGCCCAATTATTAAATGTTTATAGGTTAATAAGTCTACAACAGTAAACTGTTTATTCAAGTGAAAAGTTTTATTTGGGGATTAGAGATCTATTGTTTTCTTAAACTCAGAGGTAGCATTGTGTTTTGAGTTCTGTTTTAGTTCAGCAAACCACATTGATGAACGGAATTCAAAGCGTTAATCTACTGAATACTTTTTCCCCCTGCCCGTCTTTTCATCCACCAAAATAAGCCCCGATATTTACCCAAAAAAATTAATAATAGTTTTTTGCACTGATTTTCCCACCTGTTTTTGTGGTTGTGTTTATAAACACTGATAAATTCCCAGGGGAAATTAAATAAAATAAAAACTGAAAACAAAGGGCTGTATGTACAGTGTAAATAAGAGTTCTAAAACAAGGGGAAAGAGCCTAAAACTAAGTATTGAGACATCAGAGGAGAGACAGAGGATAAGTCTTGGTAGTTCAGACATTGGATCGGACAATGGAATAACATGTCTGTTGTGGTAACTGAAGCTACCGAGAGAAGTGGGCTAGTGAGGGCTGAAAGGTGATTAGAGTGGGGTTTGTACACAGAGTCTTGTATGATGCAGAAACTTAGCCACAATGGCCCAAGAAATAAATTTCAGTCATAACCATCTACATGTTTGTGCATTTTCTTAGTTTCCTGTTGTGATCTGTGAAATCATGGGATGCTTTAATAAAGCACACAGCTATAGACTGGAATAATTCCTTTGGAAACAGACTTTTGCGTGTGAAGGTCAATATGGGATGCTATAAGGTGCAGATTATGGGCCCAGAACTTTTTGTCCTTGCATACACAAACCTCCCATTCACCTCAGTGGAAGTTCTGCATGGTGATGTGGTTGGCCATGCATCTGCACTAATTTTATATCCTAAAAATCTTTTGAAATGTTGATGAAAAACGTGATGAAGTTGCATGTGCAAAGAGCCTGCATTTCTAATTTTTTTTTTAAACAAGATAGCATATGGATTCATTCACATTATTTGTTAATGACTCCTAATACCATGTTTGATAAGTTAAACTTTTTTGGATTCACTCTTTTGGAGTGTAAATATCCTCTAAAACCAGAAAAATTAAGTTTTATTTTGCATTCCTATATATCTTTAAAACAAAAGTAAGCAACAGGGAGGCAAGGGAATCAATTTAATCTAAATTGGTTTTTGAAATGTGCTTCTGTGCTAGAAGTTAATGCAGCTTCATCCTGGACTGAAATCCTTACAACCAAGTTATAAAGCATTAAGAACTCCCATCACACATAAAAAATCATGTATATTTTTATTTAAATAGCATTTTTTCTTTTGAATATTTGACTTTTAAATATCACCAGCATCATTGTATATAAGCAGATATCATTTATCCATTATCTTGGATGATGTATGTAAGGTAGTTTGCCAGTTTATTATTGTTTCATATGATTACATTGTTCTTTGTGTTTAAACTGTTACATGTTGCCATTAAACTTTCTATGTCTGTCTAGTTAATATTGTGAAGAAATAATAAAGTACACTGTGAGTTACTTGTTAAGAATTTGAATTGTTAGTAACATTTTACTTTTCCCTCTATTAGCAAACATCTTATGAGTGTGATCCTGTAAATACTAGAGTGTAGAGTTTGCTACTTAATAGTTCTGTTGACACACTAGGCTGCATATAAAAC